CCGGGATCGAGTCCCGCATTGGGCTCCCTGCTCGGCGAGGAGCCTCCTTCTCCCTCTGACCCTCCCCCCCTCATGCTCTCTCTATCTCATTCTCTCTCTCAAATAAATAAATAAAATCTTAAAAAAAAAAAAAGTAGTCACCGGCCCCTTCTTCCTGTTATTTGCCTGCATGGCAATTTTAACACTTGCTTATATATTAAAGATAAAAGTCCCTTGTCGAGCATTTTTCTCAGCTTTTAATTATTGTTTGTGCATAAGATTGACATTTCCTTTTTTTTTTTTTTAAAGATTTTATTTATTTATTTGACAGAGACAGAGAGCACAAGCATGGGGAGCAGCAGAGGGAGAAGCAGGCTCCCCACTGAGCAAGGAGCCTGATGCAGAACTCGATCCCAGGACTGCCATGCCCTGAGCGAAGGCAGACGCTTAACCAATTGAGCCACCCAGGAGGCCCAAGATTGACATTTTCTATCATGAAAACTATGAAGCCTTCCCTTTGCTGCTCAGGAAGTCCCTCCCACAGCAAAAGCAGAATTTCTCTGAAGTTGAGTAGTTTCCTCTGAACTTTGATCCATCTGGGTCCCGATGACATTTGGCACAGAGCCAGTTATGACAAAGTGAGGGGCCTGCTCTCAGCCGCTTATGGGAGGTGAGTGAAAGCCGGCAGAAGGTTGTGCAGTCTTGTGTTTCCTGACTGGAGACAGCACTTCTCTGAGCTGGAATCCCTTCCTTCCTCCGCGCTCCTGACGCTGGGTGTGGGGGGACAGACAGGGTCCGTGGCTCTGCAGCTCAGCCTCAGGCAGGCCCTCACTTTCCAATCAGCTTGTAATGCTTGTGTGTGACATGAAATTGGGAAGATAAATCCTTAGAATAAAAGGCTAGAATGGCCTCAGAAAGGTCAAAAGTGGGCAAACGGGTAAACACCTAAAACTGCACACTCTTAGAAATGGACCTCGACTATTCTGATTGCTGTAAATTTGGTAAACTGGATTTTTATGACTGGTCAATCCACCATGGTTTCTTTTTCTAGAACATGACCGCCAGCCCCACCTGCTGGTGAACAGGAGGGACAGGGCAGCTCTGCCCTTGGGAACAAGGGCAAGTCCAGGCTTAAAGATGCACCTGCAGTTTCTGCCCCTGCCCTGGCCAGGCATACCGACTACCCTCCCGCCCCACACGCAGCCGACCCCTGCAGTCCTCGTCAGAGATCAGACCTGAAGGACACCCCTGGGGAGAGTTGGCAGGGAGGGGACTATGCCAGGACAATGGAGTTCCAGGGGTCTCTGCCATGTCCCCCCCCCTTGCAATTCTTCTACTTGACTAACATTCCCTGTGCACCTCCTGCACCTGGCCCAGAGCACCAGGACTGAACGATGCCCCTGCCCCCAAGGAGGTCACTCAAACAAGCAGGTCACCAACCCAGTGACAGGTGCTGGGAAAACCTGGTGAGAAATCGCTCTCGGGAGGGGAGCTGACGCACCACCCTTTGGCTGTCTTCCCTCGGTCCCTCCTGGGGGGCGGGGTGGCTGTGAGGGCGTACATTTCCCCGTACATTTACTCCGGCGGACTTACCTCTGCCCATCCACACGTTAATAGTGGAGTCAACGGGGTTGTGACGGGCCTTGATTTTAAAAACTAACACCATGTCTTAGAGATACTTTAATTTCAGGACCAAAATCTGGTTCTTTAAATGGTTGCGTCAGGACCTGGGGTTCAGCGGCTTCTCCTTCAGTTGGTACTTAGCATGTTCCCAGCTTTTTGTTATTACAGCTCTGTAGATTGTCTGCATACATCTTTGCACCCAAATCAGTATTTCTGTTGGACAATTCCTAAAAGAGAAATTTCCGGGAAAAAGAGAATTGCCTGCACGTTTAAAATGTTGGTTCTACTAACCAATCGCTACCTCCCTATCCCCCCAAAAAAGGTTGCATCAGCTTATAGGGTGTATAAGCTCATTTCTCCACCCCTTACAAACACAAAGTTCAGCCGGCATGGACATCTTTGCTACTTCCCAGAATATTCAGGAGAAGAGCTGCTTTTCACTTACTTAGTGGTCAGGTGCATTTTCTCGCCTATAAACTGCCTACTCATATCCTTTGCTCTTTTATATGTTGGGATATATATATTTCATATTAATTGGGGGGCATTATAGGTCCTAGATATTAACCTTTGCTTGTCACACTATTGCAAATATTTCCTCCTTTTTATCGTTTGCTGTTTTTATTTTTTTTTAAAGATTTTATTTATTTATATGAGAGGGGGGAAAGAGAGAGAGAGCATGAGCAGGGAGAGGGGCAGAGGGAGAGGGAGAAGCAGGATCCCCACTGAGCAGGGAGCCCCACATGGGCCTCGATCCCAGCACCCTGGGATCACGACCTGAGCCGAAGACAGACGCTTAACCGACTGAGCCACCCAGGTGTTCCTTGTTTGCTGTTTTTACATCTGTTAATGTTTGCTATGCAAATGTTTTTATTTTTGAATAACTTAAACTTTGTAAACATTTGTCCAAGCTATTCTGTTCTAAGGCTATCAAGAAGAACCTCTTACCTTCTCTAAATTGTTTCTAGATTTCTTTCTCTTGCCCTGCTCCTGCGTCTGCTTGCCTGTGTGGCTCTCTCTGCCTGTCCCTGCAGCTCTCTCTCTTCCGCTCATTCTAAACGGGTAGGATATTGTCCCAATGCTGCAGATTTGGGGCGCTGGCTTGAAACCTCAAGTTTATCCTTGCATTACGTTTACACACACATGCCTGCATCTGTCTTCCATTTGTCTGTCTGTCCTGCTGCTGGTACTACAGTGTCGGAGTATCTCCAGCTTTACTCTAGTTTTGATGTCTGCTAAAGTTCCTTGTTTATTTTTCTTTTCTCTTTTTTCCTAGTATTACATATGTAATCTTCCAGGTGAGTGGGACACACACATAAGTCCCGCTGGGAAAGTATTTCGAGTGTCTTCAAATGTAATGACACATCTCCCACCGTAGAAACAGCCCCAAGGCCGGGGTTAAATGCGTGAGAGTGGGGCACACCTGACGCTGTGGAGACCCCGAGAGGCCATGTGGCAGCTGGGCCACCTGTGAGTCCTGGCGGCCAGATGGGACTTGGGCTGAATTGTTAGGGTTCGCGGGATTCCAGTGGCTACATCTCACCTACAGAGAGCAATTTCTTGGACTCTTTTTTATTTTTCAGACTTCAGTGTTAAGAGTTGTCAGTTAGGTAATTAATTTACAGCTCTGATGGCAAGGTCCACGCGGGGCCGAGGCTGTCAGTGGGCTCAGGGCTTTGGAGCGGAATGGCACGCACTCTACTTTCTTCACTGTTAGGCTTACGTTGCATCCACGCTGCAGGTGCGTTGAGGCTTACGTTGCATCCACGCTGCAGGTGCGTTGTGACAGGCATCCTCCATCTCACTGGCCCTTCACATCCACTTTAAGAGGCGGTGGATACTAGCTTTGTTATACTATGAAGTGAGGCAGGGGTCCCCGAGACCCCGTCGGGTCCGCTGACTCGCTCCGAGGGCTCCCAGAACTCACGAGAGCTGTCATGCTCACAGTTACGGTTTATCACAGGGAGAGGACCCAGACTGCCATCAGCCAGGGGAAGGGGTGCCCAGAGCAGGGCCCAGGAGGGTCCCTACTGCCCTCTCCCCGTGGAGTCGCGGGCCCCGAAGTGACAGCACATACAAGTGTTGCCAGCCGGGGAAGCCCCCAGCCTCGGTGTCCAAGGTCTTTATCTGGTGCCCGTCACGCAGACCTGGTCGGCTGCCCGCATGGCTGACCTCAGTCTCCAGCCCCTCGGGAGGGCGAGCTGATACCGTGTGGCCCAGAGCCCAGGGGAACAAGGACACTGGACTCAGGACGTCCCCGGGCTCAGCGGTGACCTCCCAGCAGCTGAGGACAGAGGCCCAACCTCCCTGGGGCAAGATTAAACTTTTTATTCATGAGGACCCACGCAGCTTCCTGGGTTGGACCTTCCTGCCCCTGTTGCACAAAAGCAGCCCCTCTTCCCTGTTTTGACACAGGCGTCCGTGGGATCCTGGTGAATCTTAGCTTGGACTTCAATGGGACCATCCCTCGTCCTGTATAATGGCCTGAATTGTGTCCTTTCCAAATTCAGAGGTTGAAGTGCTGACCCTCAGGACCCCAGAAGGTGGCTGTGTTTGGAGATGGGCCTTTAAAGAGGTGATTAAGGACGGGTGGCCCTAAACCTATATAATTGTTGTCCTGATAAGAAGGGAAAACCAGGAGGACGGCCACATGAAGACATGGGGAGGAGAGACGCTGGGTACTCACCAGGAAGAGGCCTCCGGGGGCCCAGCCCTACCCACATACCTGGGCCCCAGACTTTCAGCCTCCAGGACCAGGGGACACTAAACGCCGTGTGTAAGGCACCTGGCTGGTGGTGCTTTGTCACAGCAACCTGAGCCGACCAGCACTCAGACTCTCACCGGGTCCCTTCACCAGACAAAGGTCAGTAACAGTGATGCCTGATTCTCAGGGGCGGTTCAGGACTGAAGGAGAAAAGGAGGTGAGAGCCTCCACCCTGAGTGCCTTCTCCCCCAGAGTTTAGTAAGGTCTTTGGGAAGAGCTCGCCTCTTCTGACTGTGTAGGGGGGCCCATGAAGCGTACCCTCCTGCCCCCCAAAGCCACTCTCTCTGCCGGGCCTCAGCTCAGGGCTCTGAGGTCCGAGGGATGGGCCAGCCCTGCCAGGTGCTCCCGCTGGTCGCCCCAAAACTGCAGCTGAAGCCACCCGGGACTTTGGAAGGAGGAGGACGAGGAAGCTAACAGGCCACTGGGCTCTGGCTGGCGCGAATCCTGGCACCCCAGCCTGTGGCCACCTTGTCCCCAGAGGGCACCCAAGTCACTCCTCCTCGGAGCACCCCGAGCGCTTCCTGTCTGGCGGCCTCAGCACCACAGGAATGACACACTTTGTGCTTTTGTTTAATGGTTTCCCAAGGCGGAAGGAGGCCCTCCCCCAGAGACCTTGGGGGAGAACAGAGGACACATCTCCCCCGTGCCAGGCAGGCGCGCAGCTGGGTTTCAGGTTGGGTTCTCTTGAAGCAGACGCTGAGGCAGGACTCACATGCACAAATTTTATTCCAGAGGCTCCTGGGGGCCCAGTGAGGGAGCGGGGGAGTCGGACACGGACGGGAGGCACCACAGGAAGGGCAAGCTGCGGGCAGAGCCCCAGCCTGACCAGGGGCTCTGGGTGTAAGTCAGGCCTCAGGTTCCGCACTCCTAAGCCACATCCTGGCTGCCAGCCCCCCCGGGGCAAAGGAAACTGTCTTCTGCGCCGCTGGGGGCAGCTCCCTGAGGACTCTGGCAGGGCTAGTTCTGCCAGCTGAAGGGCTGGGGAGGACACCCAGAAAAAGCCAAAGAGCCTGGGAGGTTCTCTGCATCGGTGTACTGGGGGAGGGGTACATCTGATAGCCTTGAAGATTTGGGGTGAATTGGCGGGGTCCTTTGTGACCACCCTGCCTAGTCCCCCACCTCCTCTGTACTCTGTCCTCCATTGATGTGCTCACAGACAGCTTGATGGGGATGGGAGCTTCGGGGTCTGGGAGTCCTGAGTCGGGCTGCCTCATGCATGTCCCACACCTCTGGGTCACAGAAAGGCCCCTGGGAGGGTGACAAGGACACTGGCCACAAGCATCAGGCCCCTGGCCCCTGGTTCCCAGCTCCGTTACACAGGTCAGTGTGGCAACACTGCAGGTAGACGTGCATCTCCCTGAGTGAAGCTCTGGCTTGGAAGGGTGAGGAGATCTCGCAGGACTGTGCACAGGTCTTCACTGCCATGCTTACCTTCTTGTCTAGCAGGTCCATGCCTGTCACATGGGGAACACATCCAGAGGCTGCGGGTCTGCTGACCGTGTCTAGAACCTTCTTCCTGACCCCAGAATGAACTCATCCTGGAGCCTAAGTCCCTAGAGCCCATGGAGCTCCTCTCCTCCTTGGCACCCACCCCAACAGTGTCGGGAGAACCATGGTGGCCCCAGAGCCCCTGGCTGGACCCATGGTTGAGGAGTGCCCTCGAGCCCCGAGTCTGGCTCATGCTATGAAGCCACATTTGGATTCCCAGGAAATCCCCTGAGGATTCTTTCTGACTTCTGGCTTTTTTTTTTTTTTTAGAGAGAGAGCGAGGTAGGGAGGGGCAGATGGAGAGCGAACGTGAGAATCTCAAGTAGGCTCCCCGCTGAGCGCAGAGCTCCATCCCTTCACCCTGAGACCATGACCCCAGCAGAAATCAAGAGTCAGATGCTCACTGATTGAGCCACCCAGGCGCCCCGGACCTCAGGCTTTTTTTTATGGTGTGAGACTTGTCACACCTCTTCCAGGTAGGGAAGCGGCCCCACCCCATGCCTGCTCTGCCCTGCGCCCCCTCCGGTGTGGAGGTCTTCGGGTCCCACCTTACCCTCTTGGCTTCTAGGAAGATGGAACCTGGGAAGAACAGGGAGAAGAGGGACTTACTCAGCTTCTCTGAAACGCAGGCTTGGGTTCCACTGGGGCAGACTGTAGGTCCCGAGCACGTGCTTCCCTCAGTGTTAGTACAGTTGTGGCATCTTAAGGCCCAGGCTGTTGGGGGGACAGAGGTCAGCATCAGCCACCGGTGTGCCGAAGCCCCAGGGCCTGGCCACAGCAGGAAGGGAGGCAGGTCCCAATCTCCCGCCCAGGACCCAGGATCCGGGAGAGACTTGGGTGCAGAAACAAGGTGCTCAGGGAGGAGGGGCAGGTGAGGGAGGGCCAGGGAGGTCAGGAGAGGCCCCTGGAGGAGGAAATTGGGTGAGCTGAGGAGCGGGTCAGAAAGTATAGCGGAAGGCACACAGCAGAGAGTGGGAGAGATGAGGCTGGGCAGAAGTGTGTCCCCGTCCTCCCGTCTCACCTCCACCCTGGCACAACAGGGCCACCAGCAGAACAACAGCCCTCATCCTGGCAGCTGCCGCCCGCGCAGAGAGCTCCGGGCTGGGCCGAGCAGGGCCTTATGTAGCTGCCACCCTCCTCCGTCCTCCCACCTGGCGGGTCACTGTCACACCTGTCTTGGACACATCCCTCCCGCCCCACCCTACCCCGCATCCTGGTCCAGACACACCCCTACAACAAATGTCCTTCATCCGAGGCTCAGGCAGACAAGTCATCAAGACAATACCTGGCCGCGCGTCTCAAGTCCTCCATCAAGGACAGAGGCAAGGGGGCTTGGACTCACTAGTTCCTTCTGGGGTCTCTGGGGGCAAAGGACGTTGAAAGGAGGCAACAGCCTGAAGCAGCCTCTCAGAAACGTGGAGGCCTTAGAAGTCTCTATATTTATCCCACAGCTGCGTGTGAAAGCCACATGTCCGTCTACAAGACGCACATGCCTGGCTTAAGAAAACAATGCTTCAAAGAAGCCCTGAGTACACCTGCTCTGAGAAGTTGCACTCTTCTGTGGCTTCGGAGGCCTGGGGCTCCTTGGGCAGAAGCCCTGGAGCCCATGTACCAGAAGTGCCCACGCGGCCTGGGTGCCCGCGGGCGCTCACAGACAGGAGTCTGAGCCCCACGCCACAGCGCAGCGGGTGGGCAGCCTCAGGCATGGAGCTCAGCTTCTCCAGCTCCTGCCAGGAGCTCAAAGTCCGAACACCTCCGGGGGCGGGGGGGTGGTGGTGGTGCTGACAGGTGGACCAGGTGAGCGAAGGCCTCGTGACCCGGCGCTCAGGGATGGGGGGTCTTTGGGCCCCGGGGGAAATGGAGGGGAGCAGGATGGAGAAGGAAGTGTAGGAGCTGTTTTGCAGCAGGGAGGGACGTGGATGTCATCGCTCGGTGGGACCACAGCCGCAGGCGGCCCAGAATCACACCGGGCCACAGGAGGTGCGAGCAACAGAGCAGACGGGCCACGGGGGAGGTGCCTGGGGTAGATTGGCTGGTTTTTGTTGGTTTGGGGGCCGTGAGGGGAAAGAAAGAGAGGGGCAGCTGTGGGGGCTGCAGGCAGAGGACTCTGTTCAATGGTATCGACGTAAGAAGGCAAAGAAGTAGGCCACTTAGCATTTATGGAAGCCTCAGACCTTCTGAATATCCTCCTTGTATCTTTTTAAAAAATCGTGGTGGGGGCACCTGGGTGGCTCAGTTGGTGAAGCATCTGCCTTTGGCTCAGGTCATGATCCCAGGGTCCTGGGATCGAGCCCCACATCTGGCTCCCTGCTCCGCGGGGAGCCTGCTTCTCCCTCTCCCACTGCCCCTGCTTGTGCTCTCCCTCTGCCGCTCTCCCTACTTATGCTCACTCTTTCTCTGACAAATAAATAAATAAGATCTTTAAAAAAATATAAAAAATCGTGTTAAAATATACATAACATAAAATTTACCATTTTAACCATTTTTAAGTGTGTGGTCTAGTTGCACTAAGCACATGCACATTGTTGTGCGACCTTCACCCTGGCACATCTCCAGGATTTTTCCATCTTCCCACGCTGACACTCTGTCCCCCTCCCCCCAGCCCCTGGTTTCCCCCACCTCCACTTCCGTCTCTGTGAACGGGGCGACTGCAGGTGCTTTACAGGAGTGGAATCCTGCAGGATTTTTTTTTTTTTTTTTGTGGAAGGCTTATTTCACTTATGTCCTCAAGGTTCATCCACGTTGTAGCAGATGTCAGCATTTCCTTACTTTTTAAGGCTGAATAACATCCTGTGATGTGCACAGACCGCATTTTTTTAATCCGTTCACCCATCCGTAGACACTGGGATTGCTTCCACGTTTAGCTATTGTGACTAAGGCTGCTGTGAGCGTGGGTGTGCAGATCTCCGAGACCCTGCTTTCCATTGTTTTGCGTATGTGCCTGCAAGTGGAATTACGGCATCCTAAGGGAATTCTGTGTCTAATTTTTTGAGGAGCCTCCATATTGTTTTCCACAGCGGCTACACCATTTTATATCCCCCCCAACAGCACATGGGTTCCAGTTTCTCCACATCCTCACCAACACTTGTTATTTTATTTAAGAATAGCCATCCTAATGTGTGTGACTGGACCCTCTTCATATCTCAATAGCCCTCCACACTGTGGCGGCTCCTTTCCCCAAGGGGACTTTAGAAAACTACATTTCCCAGCCTCCCCTGCTGCTGTTCGTGGACATGTGACTTGGCTCCACCATTCAGAAGTGCCAGGTGGGACTGTTCCCAAGCCCACCAGCAGGCACAGAGGGTGGTAAGTTCGAGGCAGCCCTGGGGCCAGCTCCTGGGACGGCAGCTGTGCGTGGAGCCAGGAGGCACGGTGCAGGGGCCAGCGGCCGCTGTGGACAGCCGCAGAGGTCAGAGCAGACCAGTTCTGCACGGTGTGTCTGCGAGTGGTTTCTGAAAGTCCAGCCTGCAGTTTTGTGCGGGGGCTGCTGGGGCATTCTCTGCACTGCAACCTCACCCCTTGAAGCCTGGCCCCGTGGGCTGGCTGGGGCAGCAGCACCCCGAGGCTCGTGCGAGACGGAGGGTTGTGTGCGGCTTTGTCAGAATCTGCACTTTGTGTCACGAGACCCCCATGATGCTCAGGTACAGTAGAACTTGAGAAGGACTGTTAGAACAGCAAGAAAATATTTCCTTTTAAAGCAGCCTAAGTGGGTTAACTGTGTGTAGAAAGGCCCCTGGTCTACACACATTTGTCACCGAGCTTTGCTCTGGCTCAGACCTCTCTGCTGGCCAGTTCTGCTTCCCTCTCTCTACCCACCAGCCTTCTCCGTCCTGGTCAAGCCTGCCCTCCCGGCTCTGCCTTGCCTCACCTCGAGAGCCAAGGAGGGGCCTGGCTGCGGGTGGGGACTGGGGGCTGCCCTCGGAGGGAGGGTGCTCTTCCTGGCCCCCCTTTCCTCATGGCTGTCTGTCAAGGGAGAGGGGTAGTGGTGGCTAGGGAGGTGGAGGGCTGTGGTCACCACGACACTAGGGAACATGGCCCCACGTTGGCACCCGATGAGGAACCCTCAATGCCTCTGCTTATCTGCCCAGCTTTTCAGAGCCACTGTCTGAGCAGGAAATGTGCATCAGGACTCTGGCATTTACCGAAAGCTTTCAGTCTATTCCAGGAACTTTTCAATGTTCGTTATGTAATTTAGGCTTAGTTACAACATTCTTCTGTACCTGAGGGTGTGGAAATAGATGAGGCCAGGGACTTGCTCAAGATCATAAACCTGATGGTGATAAAGGATTGAACTTTGGGCCAATGGCTGACTCATTCAGTTCACCAGGCCATTAAATTGGGTCTTGCTTAAGCGTCAGGGATTTTCAGGGCATGAGGGTTGCAAGAACAGAGGCTCAAACATGAGATCTGGGTGGGGTAGATTTCAGTTAAAAGACACTGCATTCTCAGGTAGGGAGAAAACAATAAAACAAGACAAAACCAGGGAGCCAGCAGGCTGACCATGGCTGTGTGTGGGTGTGCGGGGAGGGCCCTAGAGAGATGATGGGGCTTCCTGTCGGCAAGTGGGGTTTGGGGCTTGGGAGAGAATGATTGGCAGATGGCAGGTTCCCAGATGAGGTCATGGGACAGGGTTGCTGGATTCCAACGGAAGGGGGACCATCAGATGAGGCCAGGAACTGGGTGCTGGGGGCCAAGGTCTTCCATGAACGGAAAGAGAGATCAGGCAGGCAGCAGGTGCCCTCAGAGGATGGGCACGTGTGGGACCTTTGGGGCAACGGTATCCCGTGAGGAATCTGGGCAGGTGCCTCTGCGGAGAGCAGTATGACCCCTGGGCTCACTGCCTCGACACTGTGTTGGACAGAGGCTCTCAGGGAGTCCCAGCCCATCCCACTCCTTACTTGCCAAACGGTTCCTGTAGAAGACCCAGATGCCGAGTGAGTTCCTCAAACTCCACTCTTCCTGGTTTCCCTGTCCTTGAAGCCCAGAAAGAGGAGTGGTGGGGCACCACAGGTGGATGCTTTTTGAGCAGGCGGAGGCCCTTGCCAGGTCTGATAAGCCAAGTTCTTCCTGCCCCGAGGCCGCATTGTGCACGGTTTGCATCACCAACAAGGAAGAGTCCTCTGAAAGCACAGGTCTGGGGAGGCCCCTGCTCCTGAGACAGCTCCACAGCCACCTCCTAACTGGAGCCTACAGGGACGCGGGCAGCCAGGTCTGGCCAGAGAGGGCAGAGACGGTCGCTGCCCAGGGAAGGGCCCTGAGGAGGTTGTTCTAGCCCCCTGAAGGCTTATCACCCTGCTGTCCACTCTCAGGGTCTGGGGGTCGGAGGGCGTACACCCAAACCCACTCCCCTCGGCCTGAGCAGCCGTGAGGTCTCACTGCAGAAGAGATGACCCTCACAGGGGTTGATGATGCACTGGCTGAGAAATGCTTCTTCAGAACGGCCTGCGACCTTGGCCTTGGTTGAAAGTTGACGGTGGTGAATGTTGCTTCTCTTCCCTCTGTCTTCTCAAAGGTCACCATCCCAGGGACCCTCCGTCAAGCATTGTGAGGAGCATCTGAGTCCGATCCAGTGGTTCCCGGATCGCTGTGAGTGCCCTGAGTTACCCCGAAGATGTGTCTGCCCATAGATGCTCCCTGAGCGCTCCGTGCAGCCCGGTCCCCTTCTGTCTGCTCCCTCTTTCCTTCCAGCTCTTGGTCCTCCTCCCTCCTGTGTGGTCCTGCCTCTGAAAACAGACCTGTGTTCACCTCCATGGTGTTCGCCTCTGCCTACCGCCGGTTCTAAATGTGGAGGCCTCTCACGGACCCACTCCCCTGTGCGTGTCGTGGGGCCCGCTAATCGTCTGAAAGCGACAGTGTCCTCTTTTAATTTCTTTTCTTTTCTTCACAGTTGTGTCCAAGGGCGAGGGGGGCCCCCCAAGCACACTCTTTCCTGAGCACGATAAGTTGGGGGGGTCTAGTGTTTGTGACTCAGAGAGAGTCTACATGGCTCCTGCTGGCTGTGTCTCCCCCTCACTTGTCCCAGGGAAGGTCACAGCTGCAGCGGGGGCTCCGCGGTGGGGGCCTCTGGCGCCTCAAGCCCCCAGCCCCACTGGATCAAGCGCTGTGTGAGAGCAGGGACCGTGACCCTGTATGGAGGCTGCCCTGCCCCCAGGGCCTGCTCGAGTCACAGTGCCCGTCCGCAGGAGGGGGATCGACAGCCCTAGCCGGTCCTCAGTCCGCTCCCTTCCCACTTGATTAGACAATCCTCAGGCTTCCACTATCTCCTCAACTTCCCGCACTTGGAGCCGGTGGCAATGCTTATTTCACTGAGGACATAGTGCCCGCCACCTCGTCCACCCTGTCGCTCCAGGGGGGCCCCGTGGCCAGCCCCCCACTCCCCAGCAGGACTTGCCCCCTCTCGTCGCTCCAGGGGGGCCCCGTGGCCAGCCCCCCAC